CTGATTTCCCTCCTTGCTGAAAAAATTGAGAGAAGACACCTGGGTGTCCTGGAGGGGTAATAGAACCTGATTTTCTTTGCTGGGAGATGCAGAAACCCTGGGAGAAGTCCAGACCTGTCTTTAGTGAGCAGACAGCATTAGTGCATTGATACATGACTTGAGGGGAAGTGGTGCCATATGGGGTTAAAGTTAAGATAAATAAACTCTGGGGATCAGATTGATTAATTTCTGCCTTTTGGGGTAATCCAGGCTTTTATTTTTCACACCTCCTACGGAGGTGATGGCTGCTGCTTCCCTGTACTGCACACAATGTGTTTCTGTCTTTGTTCCACCAGATCTCCGAAGCCCGACGCACAGAAGGAGAAGGGGAAGAAGCCCCGGGTGTGGGATCTGGGGAACTCTAATGCCAAAGTACTTGATTACAGTAATTCTGCTACCAACGGCAGCGCCGAGGCTTGTCCTGTGGAGGAGTTTGACCCTGACATGGTAAGGAAAAGTCAGGCTCCATTTGCTGTTGTGCATTCTCTGGGATCAGCTGGGCATTATGAACCCAGCCCAGTCTCTGTGCCTGGATGAGGAGGGATCATGAAGAAACATGAAACAAGGATTGTGGCACTCAGCCCATAAAGCTGCTGCTTCTCCTTGCAGGCCCTGGGGGACAAAAATCGGGAGCCTGGCCGCCTCTATGACCTGGAGTATGAGAGCGATGATGAAGCTGAAGAGGAGAAAGTTGTCCAGAACCCTTCAAAACCCAGGTAGAGGCTCCCACAGCCCTTGTTTGTCACATGGTTCTTGATTTCTCTCCTGTAACTCCTGTTCCAGTCTAACCAGTAATGCAGGAAGCACAAACTGGTGTGTTATTCCTCTCAGGGCAAGCCCTTCTACATCTGACCTTTGCAGATGATAATTTTCAAACCTCAGTGTAACTCTCCTGCTTCTCCACAGTGTGAAGAAGGGTGGCCTGGGGGGCATGTTTGGCATGCTGAAGGGCCTGGTGGGTTCCAAGAGCTTGACCAGAGGGGACATGGACCCTGTGCTGGAGAAGATGAAGGATCATTTGATTGGTATGTCTGGATCCGTGGTGTGAGGGATTAGTGGCAGTTCCCTGTGCTCTGTTGAGTGGGCCCTGGTGTGGGTAGTGCCCGTGGTTTGGGATTCTTGCCCAACTGTGGTGGGTTCCTGTCTGACATCTGAGAAGCCCTTGAGAGTGCAGCAAAAGGAGGGCAAGCTGTCAGGTCCAGTGAAAATCCTGCACACTGACTCCATCCTTCCCTTGACACCAATGTGGGATGTACATAACCTTCTCAGCAGCACTGACTCCCTGTTCTGTCTTTCTCAAAGCTAAAAACGTGGCAGCTGAGATTGCAGTGCAGCTCTGCGAATCAGTGGCCAAGAAACTGGAAGGGAAGGTGATGGGGACGTTCACCAGTAAGTGTCCGTGTGGCACGCAGTGTGTGGTTTGGTGTGGGATCTCAGCACAGCAGCCCTGATGTGCAGAGTCACCGAGATAACCCTTGGGGGGCTCGGAGGTCCTGGAATGTTGCCAGAAGTGTCTGGTGGCTGGACTTTGATCCTGCACAGGAGACGACACCTGTATGAGGATGGGAGGATCACACTGGGATAAATGGTGAAGGGATAGGTTAATTATAGAGTGAAGCACAGGTTTTAGAATCTCAGTACAGGGGGGTTCTAGAGAAACAAGATGGAGGAATTAGGGCGTGCCCTGTCCTCCTTCTTCTTCTTCTTGGCCTCCATCTTCTGTGGTGGTGGTGGCACTTTGGGATTGGTTCTTACTAAAAGTGCACTTGTCAATAAGGGTGAAAGGTATTGGGGAAAATAGGTAAATATCTTATACGTAGTTTTGGGTACAAAGATAAGTGACCGCCCCGAGGGCACGCAGTGTGCTCATGGCTGACGTGCTGTGCAGACCTCTGTCGGGCCGAGAGAAAATCTTGTAGATAAAAACTAATAAACACTGAAGACCGAGAAAAAATTGAAGACTCTTTTCGTCCTTTGGAGCGCGGGCTGTCCCAAGGCCATCCCGAGCCTTTCCAGGCCATCAAAAGCAGCCGAGAACAGGAAAGTTTGGAGCTCAGGAGTGTTCCCCACGTGTGACACGTCCTCTTTGCACCCCCTTTTCCCAGCGGTGACCTCGACGGTGAAGCAGGCGCTGCAGGAGGCCCTGGTGCAGATCCTGCAGCCCCAGCGCCGCGTGGACGTCCTCCGCGATGTCATGGACGCACAGCGCCACCGCCGGCCCTACGTCATCACCTTCTGCGGTGTCAACGGCGTCGGGAAATCCACCAACCTGGCCAAGGTGGGACCGCACCCTGGATCACAGCTGGGGCGATGGGGTCGGGCCGTGTAGCTGCTTTTCTGATGTGCTGCCCGCCGCAGATCTCGTTCTGGCTCATCGAGAACGGCTTCAGCGTGCTGATAGCGGCGTGCGACACGTTCCGCGCGGGAGCGGTGGAGCAGCTGCGCACCCACACGCGCCGCCTCAACGCGCTGCACCCTCCGGAGAGCCACGGCGGGCGCGCCATGGTGCAGCTCTACGAGAAGGGGTACGGCAAGGACGCGGCGGGCATCGCCATGGAGGCCATTTCCTACGGTACGTGCGGAGCTGGGGGTGAGGGGTGCTGTCCTGAGGCAGGGCCGTCCTTCACGCTGCCTCCCTGCCGCCCCAGCTCGCAACCAGGGCTTCGACGTGGTGCTGGTGGACACGGCGGGACGCATGCAGGACAACGCACCCCTGATGACTGCGCTGGCCAAACTCATCGCTGTCAACGCTCCCGACCTGGTCCTGTTTGTTGGGGAAGCGCTGGTGGGAAACGAGGCTGTGGATCAGCTGGTGAGTGTGGAGGCTTTGCTCTTGAGAGATGAATCTCAGAAGGTTGCAGTCTCTGTTTTGGGCCCACATGTTCAAAGAATGAGTAGGAGTTCTTCAGTTCTCAGTCTCAGAGTTGTTTATTGTATCTTATCTATAAAAATTTTTCTCTTGTCTAGCCGAGGTCCGCTCAGCAGGACAGACAGAGGCACTCTGACTGCCTCCGTGGTGGTGTTATCTCTTTATACTACAAACTACGTATACAATGCTTAAAATTGCTTTCCAATGCTTATCACCTGTTGGACAATGAGTTTCTACTCTACACCAATCTGTAAGTGCCAACATCACAGCAGAAGATGGAGGTAAAGAAGAAGAAGAAAGGCTGGAGATGCCCAAGTCCCTCCATCTTGTCTCTGAAACCCCTATTCTAAAAATCCTAAAATTTAGTTTTTCACCTAGTGATAATTTTATTATTACACTGCTTAAATTTTTGTGGCTTCCAGGTCTTCATACAAAGCTGGTAATTTGCTCTAGGGGTCATAATCAAACTTGCAGGTGTTCTGGGCTGTGTGCCAGGGTCTCTGAGCCCCCTGGCAGGGGTTGTGGCAACTCTGGACACCCAGAGGGATGAACTGAGTTCTCACAGATGAAGAGGGAAAAGAACCCCTGTAGGTTTTAACAGAGAATTGGATGGTGGCAGCACCACAAACACATTTCTTGGATCTTTTTTCTCCCTCAGGTCAAGTTCAATAAGGCCCTGGCTGATCACTCCATGGCCCAGACACCGCGGCTCATCGATGGCATCGTCCTCACCAAGTTTGATACCATCGATGACAAGGTAAGGAGGCTGCTGAGGGGATTCTGCACAGAGTCCTGATAGTGGCTGGAGGGGAGAGATGGGAACTGTCAAACACAGGGCACTCCTGCACTTTCTCCTTGTGTTTAAGCCATTGAACCAAATTTAGAAGTCTGGTTTCCACTCATGGGGGATGAATGAACGAATGACGAGCTCCCTGAGGGGGAGCAGTGGATTTCATGGTGCTGCTTGTCCCTGGCAGGTGGGTGCTGCCATCTCCATGACCTACATCACGAGCAAGCCCATCGTTTTCGTTGGTACCGGACAAACCTACTGTGATCTGCGAAGCCTTAACGCCAAGGCCGTGGTCGCAGCGCTCATGAAGGCCTAAACACCAAATCGCTGTGTGCAGATGTCCCAGAAGAACCTGCTTTACCCTGTCACCAACTAGTCTTTCCCGTGTAGTGCAGAACAGAATGGAGGAATGGCAGCAGGAGGAGTACTTTTTTTGGATAAACCCCCTTTTATCCAGAAAAAGCCCTTCCCTGGGTTCCTCCATTCTGTGTCCAGTGACGCAGGCTCCCTTGCGGGGAGGCTGAATCCAGAGCTTTGTATTGTTCGTGCTGCACGGGGGGGGGGGTGGGTGGTGCCAGGATCTGCTGTGCTTTTTGGTGGGTTTGAAGGCTTTTTATTGAGCTGCTTTTGATTTTTAGACCAGCTTAGGGAGGAGGCAGGAGGGACTTGGGCTTAGGGGCAGCGTTAGATCTGGCTGTTAACGTTGCTGCTTGTGGCAGCTCCACCGAAGCTGATAAACCAAAAAAAGTGATGGCCTGTGCTGGGCTGGAGGGGACATGCTAAATTGCCTTAAAGTCCCCCATATCTGTCCTCACCCGGACTCTGAAGCAGGGTCCCCAGACACCACGGATTTGGGCAGGAGCTGGAGAGCTGCAGCAGCCAGGTCCAGAGGTGGAAGGCAGCGTGCCCTGCCTGGCTCCTGCCCGCTGGTCTTGGCATTATTTGCTAGTAAAAAGGAAAAAAACCAAACCACATTAATACTGGAAGAGAATGGTGGCTGCTTGCTGCTTTCCTGCACCCTTTCTCCCCGCTCTGAGTGCCTCTTGATCCCGGTCGGAAGTGCTACACTGATAATACAAACCTCTGACAATGTCTTGTAGCTCTGTATTGCAGATGTGCTATAGTGCAATAAATTGAATGCTGTCTGCTAAGAGACATAATTTATATAAAATAAACTTCATAATTTGTTCTCTGTGTATAAATGACTTGCCTCCAGCCAGGACCTGTTTACTACTGGGTTTGGGGGAGATGAACTCCCACCAGAAGGGTGAAAGGGCCCTTTAAATGATACAGCAGCCAAAGTTCAGTGAGCAGGCCTTTAATACAACTTCAACATACAAAATACTGTACAGTAAAAAGACAGGACTAGAAAACTAGAGCTTCCAGTAAAAAAAAAAAAAGCTCAAGTTTCATTTTAAATTGAAATACAGAATATAAAAGCACTAGGTATGAAGTTAGAGGAGGCTGCAGCTCCCTTGGGGACACCGCGCTCCGCAGGCACACGCAGCCCCAGTAAAACCACAATTACTGTGTTAGCCCAGCTGTTCATCCGTGGTGGCTCTGTCCTGGCCTTGTCCCTGCTGGAAGGGTCCTGGCTCGGTGCTGGACAGCAGTGGGACAGTGAGTGGTGGGCTCTGGCCTCCCTGAGGGCTGCTGGCCTGGCCTGGGCCTGTCCCAGGAGCCCCTGCCACAGCTCAGGGCCTGGGCAGGGCTCAGGCTCAGGGGCTGCATCCTGTGTGGAAGCAAAGGCTGAAAACCTGCCTGGGACTCCAGGGAGCAACACAGGGTGAAGCCCCTTGGCTCCAGAGAGCCTTCCTTACCTTTCACCTCAGCGTGGGCAGCGGCAGAGCCGTTCAGCTGCTGCCCCTCCTTGGGCACACCTGGGGCAGAGCAGAGACCAGACTCAGGTGGAGAGCCAGCTGCCCATGTGCTGGTTTCACACAGGCTTTCCTGGCTGGGTTAACCCTCAGAACCCACTTCCCCCCATTTTTGTGATTTATTAGTGATACCTCTTGTTTAAAATCATTGGCTCAGGCTGAGCAGCATGAGGGTCAGGGATAATAAATGCCCCTTCACTAGAAAGGGAACAAACAGCTGCACATGAAAAGCAAAGTTTGCAGGCGTGGGAGGCAGCACAGCTGTCTAAACTGTTAAAACATACAATGTTTTCATAAAAGCAACCTGCAGATCCAGCTACACTTAGAGACACATTTGCTTTTTTAAGAAAAAAGGTTTCAGGAATCTTTACCTAGCATGGAGAACAGGGGCTACTACCCCTGTCTACTGTGCATGGTGCCAGCCAAGGGTCCCCAGCCCAGCCCCTGCCCTGTACCTGCTCGGCCCCGCATGGCAATCTCGCTCGTCAGCCGCTCAAAGTACTCGGGCAAGTCAGCGTAGTCATCTCCGTAGGAAATCACTTTGATGCCTTTGTCCAGCATGTTCTCACGGAGCTTCTTGAACTCATCCACATCCCCCCTCCGCACCAGCATGAAGTGCTCCAGGTCTGACTTGTGCTTGACAGCCTCTAAAAACAGGGCCTGAAACGTGGTGTCATCAACTGTCCAACCACAGCCCAAGAAGAGGAAGGACTTATTTTCATACAGCTTCTGAATCTCTCGCTTTAAGAAAGGGAAAGATGTTCTTGGTCAAGGTGAGCTTCATCCTCCCAAGAGACAGCACCTGCCCTATCCCTGGGGAGGCTCTGCAGCAATGCCATCCTTCAGCAAGTGTGGGAGTGTGACTGTGTTCACAGGGGTCTCAGGATGAGGGAAGAGATGAGGATCTGACTTTATGTTTTAGAAGGTTTGATTTATTATTTTATAATATATTATAGTAAAACTATACTAAAAGAATAGAAGAAAGGATTTCATCAAAAGGCTGGCTAAGAATAGAAAAAGAATGATAACAAAGGCTTGTGTCTCGGACAGAAAGTCTGAGCTAGCTGACTGTGATTGGCCATTAATTAGAAGCAACTAACATGGGCCAATCAAAGATCTACCTGTTGAATTTCACACCAGCAGATAACCATTGTTTATATTTTGTTCTTGAGGCTTCTCAGCTTGAAAAATCCTAAGGAAAGGATTTTTCATAAAAGATGTTTGTGACATGGGAGGTGTTCCAGCACCTCAGCAGGCCAGGGAATTCACCCTCCTCTTTCCCATATCTATTAATTCTCCCCCACCCTCTGAGCTCAGTCTAAGCCCAGCTGAGCTGTGCCCAGGCTGGCCCAGCGTGGCTCACCATGACCTCGGTGTTGCGCAGAACGTTCTGGTAGCCAGCCGGGTGCAGGACGATGCCGCTGGGGTTGGTGTAGACGCCGTGGATGTGCAGGACACTGAGCTTCCTCTTCTCCTGCGCCCACTCCAGCACCTGCACAGCACAAACCCGCAGCAACATCCGTGAGTGCATCATGTTGGCTACCACAGCACTGCTAAATGTAACATTTTGGGGAAGCATTCCTTCCTCATCTTCTCCATCAGACTCCACAGCATGGCCTGCAGCCACAGCTTGGGGTGCTTGTTGGGGTCAACACTTCAGCTGACTGTGAATGTGATGAGCAGACTGAATCAAAATGCCTGATTGACCAGAAAAAGGGGAAAAAAACTACAAATCTTCTGTCAGCATGTTTCTCACGCCTACCAAGTTGTATTTTGAGGCCCCTACTGGCTCTGAGGGAGTCACTAGCTGAGCTGACCTCCATTTCAGACAGCTGCTTCTGAGGCTCTCGGTTTACTCCTGCAGACCTCAGCTCGTTTAAGCTTGCAATAATTAGAATGCTTACTTGTAACACTGTAAGTACTTCCAGCCATGTAGATTAAGAGGTCACGCAGGAAACGTGAAGCACAGAAATGAGAATGAAAAGAGAGCAAGGACTGCACAGGACACAGGCATTGAGGGTGTTTAACATGCAAACAGAAGGATGAGATGCTCCCCACCAGAAAAACCCGTGATTGAGAGATGAGGTGAGCAGGTGCAGAGCTCAGGGTTTCACAGCCTGACTGGGGCAGGAGGAGGGATTTTTGCATAAAGAGAGTAGCTCTGAGAGTGCAGCAGGAGGAGCCATTCCAGCCATTGCAGGAAGAGGACATGGGGCAAGAGGGGAGCCTTGAAGGCTGCAGCCCTGAACACCCATCACAAAAAGCACTGTGCAGCACCTTATAAAAATAAAAAGTTCAGCTTTGCATCTTGCATGGAGTTTCTCATACGGGCTAGAAACATCAACCCGAGCCTTATGTGGAAGCAAGGCCAAGCCAGAAGTTTCAAGGACAGAGATCAAAGGAATAGCAGGCTTAAGGACTCCTCCTGAGCACTGGATGGCAGCCAGCAAAGCAGCGCTCCAGAAAGGAGCGTTCCTCCTCTTTCCTCTGCTTGCTGCCCTGGACAGAGCCTCTGCCTGGAGCTTGTCTGCCACCACTTAAACCACTACAATCACAACAAGGCCCTCAAGCAGCATGAGAGCACATTCTGCACCACCACAGACCCTGACAAAAGAAATAATCATCCTTTACCTTCTTTTCATCAGTCAGGTCAAGAGACTCAAGGTGCTTCCCCTGGTGTGCTGCATACAGCTCCAGCAGGTTATCAAAGTTTGTGGTTAACACAAGGGCCCCATTCTCCATCAAGTGAAGCACAGACTGAAGCAGCTGCTTCCCAGAATCTTCCATTTTAGATTCCAGGTCATCAAACACCTCGTATAAACAGTCCTTGAAAAAGGTTGAGCGAACGTTGCTTGTGCGCTGAGAAGGGGAGAAGATTGAGATCAGAGCCAGCCCTGCAACACCTCACACCAAATGGCCCCATGAAAAACTGCCCACGTTTCCCCAACACCCTGCAAAGCTCTGGGTCCTTGTAGGGCAAACACAGAGCCTTGGCTGCACCAGGGTGGGTGCTGTCCTTCAGTGTAGTTGTAGGATCACAGAATCCCAGACTGGTTTGGGTTGGGAAAGACCTTAAAGCCCAATCTGCCATCTCATCCCACTCTGTGCCATGGGCAGGGACACCTTTCAGTATCCCAGGTTACTCCAAACCCCTCCAGCCTGGCCTGGAACACTCCCAGGGATGGGGCAGCCACAGCTTCTCTGGGCAATCTCACCCCTTCACAAGGGAGAATTCCTTCCCAACATCCCATCCATCCCTGCCCTCTGGCTGTGTGAAGCCATTCCCCCTTATCCTGTCACTCCAGGCCCTTGCCCACAGTCTCTCTCCATCTTTCTTTTCAGCTCCCTTCAGGTATTGGAAGGCCACAGCTAGGTGACCACTGAAGCCTTCTTCTCCAGGTTTAACAATCCCACTTCTCTCAGCCTTTTCTCATAGGAAGGTGCTCCATCCCTTTAATCATCTTGGTCCAGGTGAAACACCCAAAACCCACATCCACAGCAGGGTTATGTCACAGGCACCTGGCACAGTAAGTGCACCTGTGGTTCCTTGTGCACAGAGGAATTGCTGGGGTGGGGGCACCATTGCTGGAGAAGCAAATCTGGCTATTTCCAAAAGCCAAATCCTGCCCTCAGGGCAGGTACAAGCACACTGACCGGAGACAGCTTCTGAATAAGGTCGTGGGCAACATGGACCAGGTTCTTGTCTTCATGAAGACACTTCTGGAACCGTTTGCTCTCCTCATCTTCCAGGAGATCAAAGTCAATAGCAGCATCCAGGAGGGCCTGAATCAGCCCCTTCCAGGACTTCAGTGCTGGGACCTGGGGAGCAACTGCAGCACTAATTCCTGTCCCAATCACCAACACAAGTTCCCGAGGCTTCTTGGTTTTGAGACTTGGCAGCAGCTTCCTGCAAAAGGAGAAAGGAGCACAGCTGGTACCACCATGAGGGCAAGGGTGTCTGGGCACATGCAGACTGAGGGAGAGGGAGGTACCCTGGGCCTAAATTTTGGATCAAATATCCATTGGGGCTCTCTGATAAACAGAGCATGAGAGGAGCAGCTTGGTATCCTTAAAGGACAGCAGGCAGCTGCATGGATCAGCAGCACAAATGCTCCCAATAGCAGGTCCCTAATTACAACATTTTGGGAATCAAATCTGTTACCAGGATGGTTACTGGGGAAGTCAATGATGCCCTGGGGTGCTTCTGCAGCAAAGCTAATCCACTAAGAATCTGGAATAAGGGAATCTATTAATAAAAGTTACATGGAGGGCTGGAGGGCATGGGAAAGGAGTGGTGAGCACGAGAGAATGAGACACACACACGCTCTGTGTCCCGAGATAAAACATGTGTCAGATCCCATGCAGGTCAGAAATGCGACCTGGTTTAAACAAGGTGCAGAACAGGGGCCTTGAGACAACAGCTCCACTTATCCCAGCACAGACAAAAGCAAGGGAAGGCTTCCTCCAGCCCCAGTTTGCTGAGGAACCCCCTCAGCTGTACCAGCAATCCCTTCCCTATGATGCCTGAAATGTCAGCAAGATGCTCCAGGCCAATTTTTTAGAATATCAAGATGATACAGAGTCACATGAAAGGGCTGCAGGGCTGTGTTCTCCTTACTCCTCCTCCCCTCATCCCTGTTTTCCTGGCTTTACACCTGCACAGAGCTTTTAAATGTGACCTTTATCATTTATTAAGCAGATGTGTTGCTCCTTGCCTTGCCTGGTGTCCAGCTGCTTTCCACAGCAGGAACCTGCTGCAGCTTCTCAGGATTGGAGCAGCAGCCTGGGAAAGCAACTTGTATGGAAGAAATGGGCTTTATCAGCAAACACGTGATATTTGGTGAGCAGGGGAGAGGAAACCAACACCACACAGATGGAGCTGTGCTTTGCTCAGCCCCTGCCTATGAAAACAGACTTGTTAACCCTTTCCTTGAGGAGGGTTCATTGTTACTGCTGATAAACAAGGTTTAATTTTAGGACTGCAAGCCTTTCGTGAGGAATAAATTAGTATTCAGGCTAATGAGCTAGTATAAAAACACTATTGGAAATACAGGGACTGAAATCCAAAATAATAATAAATACCCAAGTCTTAATGTCCTGCATACCTGCCCTGCTGATAAATGTACTTGTTTCTACCTTGATACCCTGAGCAAGGAAAAAATTATCTCCCAATGTCTCTTCTGCACATTCCAGGGTCACAGATCAACCTCAAGACCATACAGTACTATCCTGCAGCCCTCCAGAACTTGCAAATAAATCAAATTAGTGGGAGACAAACCCCCAGCTGAATTAGCTGCTTGTTCACAACAACTTTTGAGCCTGCAGCAGCCACAGTCTCAGTCTCTGACAGACAGAATTACCCACCAGTCAGACTCCACTCACAGAACTGTAAGACCACCTACTTCCAAGCACAGGGAGCCTCAGAGTGAATTATTTAGCCTTTACATGAAGCTCAACCATACTAATTTGAGTAACTCTGCCCTCCTGGAAACCACCATCCAACTCAAGCAAAGAAGCACAACCACCGTGTCTGACCTGACAGTGTGAGTGGGCAGGACAGCAAAATACAGCTTTGAGAGTGACCCCATCCCCTGGCTGAGGGTTAAAACCCCAAAAGTACATTGTGGGTGTGAAGGTGTTTGTTCCACAAACAGCAGGAAAGCCCAGGGCACGGCCAGCAGCCAGCACACAGCTCTTGGATCAGGAAACAAAACAGCTGCGGTCGCCAGGGGTCACAATCCTTAAAGAACAATGCCAGGCAAAGGAAAAGGCTCTTGTTAGAAGAAATTCACTGGAGCATAAGGAAACTTACCTGGGCTTTTTTGCAGGTGGCATTCCATCTTCCAACAGTGTTTCCTTGCCCAGGCTCACCGTAGAAGCCATCCAGTTTCTGTAGCAGACAAATCACCAAAGGGAAGTCACTGCACATGGACACCACCACAACAATGGGGTTTTACAGATCCAGCTTTGCACAGGTGGATAAATCTCAGGTTTGTTATCGTTCCAAGATCACCTCTTGGCTGAGAATTGCATGTTTTTGTCTCTGAACTTTGTCCCACAGTCTCATCCTCTCCCTTAACCTCTTTTACCATAAAATCCTTGGCTGTTTTTCCCAGGCGTGATTGCCTCAGCAAAACCCACTTCGCCAGACCCTTTGTTCCACCTCAGCTGCTCGTTTTCCTGAGAGCTGGATCTTGGAGCAGCACTCCCCCCTTCCCCACAAGGCCCGTCAGCAAACTTGCTGCTTGGGAAACAGTGGGAGGGAAGAGAAGACAAAGAGATTTTTGTTGGCTCCAAAAAGCCACGGAGAGCATTTCATTCCCTGGTGATGAGAGAAGGGTTTCCCAGCCCGCCATGAGTCTGCAAGCACTGGGAAATGACCTTAAAGCCCACGGGAAGGAAGTGCAGCTTGAGAACTCTTTCAACAGCCACATAAAACACAAAAGCTCTGCCAGCACGCAGAGCTCTCCCACTCTGCTTCTCCCAAATAAGTCTATGAAAAGGGAATGAGAATGAACAGGACTGTTCACGCTCCTCTGCTTTATCCCTGCCAATTGTAATGAGGAGTCCATCAAAAACTCTGTTAGACAAGGGCTTTTGGCCAAGAGGAAATGCTGAGGAAGAGCTGCTGACCCAAAATCACAGAGTTTTTGCCATCTCAGGGAGATCTGAGGGTTTGTTCTAGAGATGACACGCTGTGATTGCCCCCTGGCAGCCCAGCAGGTGACAATGGCAGGTCTCTCCAGGTAGGACCTGAAGGTGTTGGCATGGAACATGTGAGAAATCAGCCAGTATTCCAGGAAAGCACCACCTTTCCTTGCTGGATGATGAGAACAGGGCAAAGTGACACTGTCAGGAGCTCAGATACACTGTGTGTGTGCAGCCTTTACCCTCTGACCCCTTCAGAAAACTTTATACAATGGATTGGTTTGGGCTGGACAGGACCTTGTGTCGTTCCACCCCCTTGCCATGGCAGGGACACTTTTCACCACCCCACCTTGCTCAATAATAAATCATTGTACCAACAGTAGAACACCTCAAAGAGCTGCTTTTCACTCAAAGAGCTGGTTTTCACTACCTACCTCCTGAAACATTACTGAACACATGCTGCTCATCACTCCAAATAATCACCTTTTTATCTTACTGGGCCCAGACTTTGGATAAGTGTCAAAGGCCCTCAGAAAGTGAGGAATCTCCTGGTTTTCCCCCCTCTGTGCATGCCCTCCATCACACCCTCTTGTGAACATTGTACCCTGTATTTTCCCAACCCACACTCAGCCCAGGAGCTCAGTGCTGCTCTGACAATGAACCTCTGCAGCCTCATCACCCCTGAACACCTGAATCCTGTCAGGTGAACTGTTTTGGGGGGTTACATCTCCAGAGACCAAAGCAGTGACTCTCAGGAAGACAGGAGGACCTGCTGGACACAGAGCTGTCAGACTGACCTCAAATCCCTGCTGAGTGAATGCAGCCAAGCATGCTCAGGATAAAGGGGGAAGAGCCCCTCTTTTTCCTTCCCAGGAGGGTCCCATTTTTCTTTTGGATTAGGTGATTTTTCTGGAAGGATAGGCTGCTTCCACAAAGCCAGCCAGACTTTATTTAGTGGTGCAAAGATGCTTTAGATAAGGCAGGCACTAACAATAGATAACAGGAGTGTTTCAGAGGGAAGTTTTGAGTTCCTGCTGGTGCCAGGTCTGCCTCAGCCCCTATGCTACAGCTGAAGGTAAATCCTTCCTTGCTTTCTAAATTGGATAGAATTTAAGCTTATAATTATCTTTGCATTGTGAATCATCAGCTGTGGCTCGAATATCAAGGTTGTTTATAAACTCCCACCTAGAGCTCCCCTGTTTGCTTCCACCTGCCTCAGCACACTCCCATCTCGCTCACCCTGCACATTCCCATGCTATTAACAGCAGGAATGGAGCCATCAAATCAATTTTAAGTGCCTCTAAATGACATTTCAAAAGCAATTTTAAACTTAGGAAAAAACACCTTTTGGAATTACAATCACCTTTTCTGATATAATGACCTTCAACCTTCAAGTCTATTATTCAGTGCAGAGAGCCATAAAGGAACAAAAAACTCATTATAAATACAGCCTAGTTCCAAAAAAGTTATTACAGGTCTTAAAAAGAATTCATGGGGATTCAGCCAAGAAATAGAAACCTCTGGTTTTCAGTCCTGGGGAGAAACTCTGCTTGCTAGAGGGATGGATGGTGCTGGCACAGCTGAGGTAGCCAAAATTAAATGGAATTACCTCAGAGCATGACACTGCCATGGGAACAAACCACAGCAGGTACTGCAGGTTCCCCTGGGAACACAGGTGCCATGGAGGAGAGGGAGCCACAGCACTCAGAAGATAAGAAATGTCTCTCCAGCCTTCTTCAGACACTGGGGACTTTGCAGCTATTTAGACTACAGGAGCTGAAGACTGTAAATACAACACTCCATGGATTCCTGGCTCAGCTGCCCCGTTCCCCTGTCCCAGCCTTGTCCCCATCACTTTTATCAGGGTTAAAGGAGACTCCCTGTGTGGGTTTGCTGCATTCTATTTCTCCCTCCACACCACAGAAATCCCTCAATTTATCCTAAAGCCTTCCAGACTTCAGCTTTAAACTGTGCCCAAGTCACCAAAACTGGAGAAACCCAACCCCAGCAACTCCCTGTGTGACACAGACACATCATGTTGGAAATGTGAAGGTGTATCCCAGGTAAAAGCAAACACCTGAACACCACGTGTGTCAAACAAAGGCTGAAGTTCACACAGGGTGTGTATTTACAAAAACCTCTCAGGAACTCTGTAGAACACAACCACACCACACAGCCACCACCAGAGCCCAACCTGCAGAACTGAAATGAGGAATTAATGGAACATTTTCTCCCTCACGTCAAGGAGAAGTTGCTGCTGCACCCAACAGAGAACTAAAGCTGTACCTGGATGTTTAAAATTGAAGCCAAGCGATCCAACACCAGGCTGGAAGATGGGCTCCTCCAGAAGAGCCCCCACAAATTCCCAAAAGAAACAAGTACAAACCTACTGCTCGTCCATAATTTTCAGCTTCTCTGAGTGCTGAGAACTGCCACCAGCAAAGATGTCACCACCAGCTTCTCTCTCAACTCAGCACTTGAAGGTGTTGGGATAAGACAGTGCAAAAGCCACTTTGTTTCAGCTGAAAGTTGAGCTGTCCCTGGCCAATTCCCAAGCCTACCCCTCCACGTGGGAGCTGCCCTGGAGCTGGATCAAAACCATCCTAGGAAAACACAGGCTCCAGGACAATGGGACCGAGGACAAACCCTGCTCCTGTCCAAGCCACAAAACCACAGGATTCAGCCTCCTTGGACGGGAGTCAAAACACACCAGAGGATTTTATTCAACGCTGTGATTCTCCACGTGCTTCCCCATGGCTCCATGAGCAAGGAGAGGCAGTGACACAGCAAAGCCTGGCGGAGCTCCGCATCCCACAGAGCCCCGCTGCCTTCCCAGAACTGACTCTGCCGAGGGACGCGGGAGGGGGGGTCACGCCTTCGGCTCTGCTCGAGCCCTTACCTGTGCTCTCCGTTGTGCCCTCCTCGCTAAAGCTGCGGGAAAAGCAACAACACGGGCATTCAGCGGGCGGGAAGGACGCCGAGGCTCTTTTCCCACGGGGACGCATCAATAAGAACGAGCGTTTATAGAGGGCGACGGCGAGGCCGAGTCTCGGCCGGGCCGCCCGCGGCTGCCGGAGGTTTCCCGCTCCCCCGGCGCTCCCCCGGCCCCGCCGGTCCCTGCGCTCCCCTCAGGCCGCGCCGTCCCCTCAGCCCGGCGGCCATGGGACCCCCCCCGCTATGGCGGCCGCCGTTGCTATGGCAACAGCTCCCCCCCGCGCTGTCGCCATGGCAACCGCGCCCTGCCCGCCCCCCGCCGCTGCCGCGCGCCCCGCACGCACCTGGCGCCGCGCGCGCGGCCCCATTGAGGAGACGCCGCCCCGCCCCGCGCCCGGCCACGCCCCGCCCCGCGGGGTGAGTTGGCCACGCCCCCTCCCAGCTCCGCCCCGTCACTGGCTGACAGCGGAAGGGGCGGGGCCAGGCGTGGGAACGCGGCGCTGCTCTCGCGGCGCTTTGCGGGGCTATAGAAGGCGCGGGCGCATGCGCGGAGCAGTGCTGGGCCGGGGGCGGCGCCGAGCGGATCTGTCCGTCCGTCCGGGTCGGGGCCGCGCTGGGCCGGGCCTGGCCGTGCCCCCCTTCCCCTCAGGGGCTTCTCCTCCGCCAGCTGCCGTTGCCTGGGTTCCTGTACGTGCCACCGCGTCTCCAGCCCTATGAGGTACACGCGGTGCCTGGGCCTGGACGGCCGCTGTGATGCCTTCAGGAATATGTGTGGCGGAATTTGGGTGTACTTAGAGCTCTTCAGGAGAAAAACTATTCTGTTTTCTGGGTAGCTGCGCGCTGTTCTGTACTGGCACCGTAAACGAAACGTTCATGGTGGTTTTAGGGACAAAATTAGCCTTATTTTCTCCCCCAGAACGATTCGACCCTGCCTTGCAGCACCTGGTGTTTGCTATTTGTTAATTCCACAGGCAATCCTGTGAACCACAGGCTCTGAAACTTCTGCTGCAGGGATTTCAGCGTGCTGCTGCTGCTGGGTCAAGGCACGCTGTGAATAGAGCTGTGCCCACTTAATTACACCTTTAATAATGATTCTGTTATTGCTGAGGTGGGGTGGAGGTTGATCCAGGTGGTGTGGCCTTGTGGGATTTAGGGTTTGTGGGTTCACCCTCACTCAGGTTTCCAGATGGGGTGACTCACACAGGCAGGTGACTTGCTATCCTCTGGGTCCTGTCCTCGGGTGAGGAGTTGATTTTTGGGGTGGTGGCAGCAGTGCTGGGGCAGAGACTAATGCAGAATGGGTCCCAGTGGGATGAGAGGTGCTGGGCCCATGGCTGGTGGTCCCTGTGGGGCTCACTGCCACTTGGCCTTGGGCTTTTTCCTTTGGGATTTGGCCACCAAGAGGCCAACTGGTGTCCCCTGCTTGGTGGAGAGAAAGGCAGCCAAGATAGTGGTAGAGGGTGGGGAGGAGCTCAGTGTCTCTCAAGGAATTCATTGCATTTTGGGCACAGGCTGCCCGGGTTCCTCTGCTCTCAGCACCGTGTCTGAGGGTGGGCTGGGGGCCCTGCAGATCCTGCCTGCTCTTGTACCCCAAGGTGCCTCCCAGGGCTCAGAGATGGCCTGGCTTGGGAAATCCTTGGGGATGGGCAGGTGTTTATGACAAGGGGGCAAAGCCATCAGGGAGCCCCCCCATTTCACAAGGTTTTGTGTTTTGTGCTGCTGTGCCCTGGTCTGTTGTTTTGCTGAAGGTGGTGGGTGAATAGACATGGAAACACCTGTGGAAGCCACAGCCAGGTGGTGGCATGGAGGAACATTGTGTCCAACAGGAACTCTTCAGATACCTGTGGGACACAGTGGTGGGGTGGGCATGGGGTCCCCAAAAGCCTGACAGGTGCTGGTGGGGGTTGGGGGATCTCCTGACCTTCAGCCCTTTGTCCCAGGAGACTCCAAGGGAAGGAGGAGAGCAGTGTGCTGAGCAGGGAGGTGGAGTCAGTCCTGGGGCACAGCTGGCTCATGGTGCCATTGATGAAGGGGAGTCTTGATTAGCCCTGGATGGGGTGTTGAGGTTAAATGGGGTGGGTGGATATGTTTTGGGGGTCAGAGGACATGGATTCCCTGAGGGGAATACTTTCCTTCAGGCATGGAGGTGTAGGGGTTGTCCCAGTCAGCTTGCAAGCAGATGGGGGACACTGGGGATGTGTTTTGGGGGCAGGTGCAGCAGTCCTGAAACTGGGGTGATGGGCACTGGGCACAGCCTGCCCTCTCCATGAACACACTGAGTTAGGGGAGCATGGCCAGTGTTTGGAGCTACCTGGACTGCTGGAAGGGACTTGGAACAAGATGATCTTTAAGGTCCCTTCCAACCCAAACTCTTGTGGGGTTCTATGGTTCTCCCTGCTGAGGTAGAGGTAAGGACTTACCTGGGTGGGTCCTGGCCCAGCCCCTGCAGTTTGGGAACCCCACAGTTGGAGCTGTGGTACTGTGCACAGTGGGGTGTGATGGGCACCACTCTGCTTCAGGGTTAACAGTGAGGGAGATGCTGACCCAGCTTTGTGCTCTGGTCCACCCTGGGCTCACTCTGGAGATGCTCCAGTGTGAGTGCCAAGGCCAGCTTCTGTGGGGATCCTTGCTGTTATCCAGGGTGAGGACTCAGATGGGAGAGGGAGGGACACATTCAGTACTGGGGCTGGACCCCCAGGGCCCTTCTCCTGGTGTCCCATGGGGTGTGGGACAGTGCCCACATCAGAGGGTTCAGTGTCCACATCAGAGGCCCAGGCATTGTCCCCTAGGCAGGGAAGAGATGGGGAAATCTCCTGTGCCAGGAACAGCCTGTCAGGGAGCTGGATGGGCATGTGAGCCTTGGAGACTCCCTCAGATTCTTGGGGGATGGAACCAGGACTCACCTGGGGCTCATCTCTCACAGGGCATTGAGGAGCCACCTGTGAGAGATGAGCTCCAGGTGAGTCCTGGTTCCACCCCCCAAGGAGGAGGGGTTTGGAGGGGTTGAGGATGATGAGGAGATGAAGGCAGTGTCAGTTGTTGGCCACCAGCAGCAGCCCCAGGGGAACGAGACCTGGGGAAGGAGAAATACAGGGGGGATTTTGGGGTGAACAAATGACTTGTTAGGTAAATTTAACTCGTAAAATAAGTGTGAGTGGCAAAGATGGACCTGTCAGGAAACCAGGGAGGAGAACAGAGCAGGGTGCTGCTGAGGGCTGTGCACTCTGACACCCATCAGTGACGGCATGTGGCGGATGTGGGAGGGAGGCCCCTGCCAGGGCTTGGCTTCCCCTCCCTGCAGTGCCAGCCCATTTACCCTCCTGTGCTTTCACATTCCCCAGCAGAGGCTGGAGCTGCTGGGGGCACCTGGGGGTTCAGGGAGCTGCTGCACTCTGTCCCTGGGGAGGCAGGTGGGTGCCCCTGCCCTCGTTTCCACCCCAGGGTGGCTTCACTGGGATCCACTCCTGGATGTGGCAGCTGCAAGGATGGATCAGCCCCACCATTCACTGCAGACCCCATCAGACTGCAGAGTGAGCATCCTACCTGTCCTTTCCCACCCAGGTAATCCCAGCAGATCTTTCTTTGCCAAACCCAGGGGCTGATGCATCCCCTTCCCTGCTCCGGTGCCGGACTCCTGCACTCCAGGTAAGATCCCTCCAATTTCCCCCCTGCTCACTGTCCATGCTCATTGTTCCTCTCACACTTGAGCTGTTGGCTGTCCCTGAGTGGTGACTCTTGGGCACTGTGGTTTCCGTGGGTGTGCTGGGGTTTTGTGGGCATTTCCTGCAGCCCTGTGCTGTTTTTGGAGTAGGGGAAAGGCTTCAGCATGATGTGGGGTGTTTCATTTCGGAAGGGGTGATGCCAGCAGTGGAAAACAGCAGCTGTTTGCCCCATTCTGTTCCTGTGTGTCTGCAGGGAGTGTCTGGGCTCCCTAAACCGTGCTGGGAGCACAGTGCTGAGGATGCTGTGAGCTGGCAGGGAACAGACAGGAGTGCCAGGGCAGGCAGCACCAAGGATGCACAGCTCTGGGCATCACCCACACTGCCTTTGGTTTGCCAGCACCCAGTGATCCCTGGTGATCCCAGCCGATTTCCCTTTCTCCTCTCCACAGGATCCTTTCCCCACTGATGGGAATGAGGGTTTCTCCTCCCCATTCTCTCTTGGCCTCGCTTGCTGCAGGTGTGTATCTCCAGTGGAGAGAGCCAGTAACAGGTAAATGTTCCTTCCCAGCACGTTTTGGGGAGGCAGATGTGCTGGGGGTGATTTTGGGGCTGTAAGAGCACCCCAGAGCTGCAGATCCCTGGAACAGACCGGGCTGAGACCTGCCATGAAGCAGTTCTTGCTCTCAGTTTTTTATTCCTCTTTTCTGCTCTCAGGAGAGGTGTCCTGCTGGCAGTCAGTGGCTGAGCAGTGTGCTGCCCACTATGGCTGGTGAGTGTGGGAACAAACCTGCCTCTGTCCCCTCCCTCACAGCATCCCTTCCCCAGCAGAACACCAGGGTGCCCATGGGCTGCTCCTCACGATGCCACAGCATTCAGGTGGTGGTGGCAGCTCAGTTTCAGGGACCAGGATGGTTTTGGGGTCAAGGTGAGATCCTACCCACCCCTTTCCATCTGGGGGCATCCTACAGATTGAATGATGCTGTGCTTGGGAAGTCCAGGGGGTGCTGAGCCCCCAGAACTGACTGTGACCTCTCTGCAGGTTGGTTTAGGAGGCTCCTGCACAAACCCAAGTCCAGCTCAGTGGAAAGCCTCAAGTCCAGCCACTCTGCTTCATCCTCACCTTCCTCTTCCTCCTCATCCTCTGCCAAGAGCTCCAGCTCCTCTCCTGGCACGAGCCTGGCCACCAGCTCCATCTCCCTGTCTCCCGTGTCAGCAGTGGACATCAGCGCCTCGCACAGCCCCCGGTGGGACAAGAGCTACGACGTGTGCATCTGCCACAGCGAGGGGGACGTGGAGCTGGTGTCAGAGCTGGTGTCCTACCTGGAGGGGCAGCCCGAGAGCTTCCGCTGCTTCCTGCAGCTGCGCGACGCCGTGCCGGGCAGCGCCGTGGTGACGGAGCTCTGCGACGCCGTGCACAACAGCCACTGCTGGGTCATGCTCATCACCCCCGGCTTCCTGCAGGACCCCTGGTGCAGGTACCAGATGCACCAGGCCTTGGCCGAGGCTCCCATGGCCAACGGACGCACCATCCCGGTGCTGAAGGACGTGGATCGCAAGGATTATCCCAGGGAGCTGCGGAATATCTACTACATCTACATGGCCCTGAAGGAGAAGAGCTTCAGGCAGATCAGAGACACTGTCATGCGCTGTGAGTATCCTCTGGATGCTGGTGAAATGTCAGCTCATTGTGGTGAGGACCGTGGGAATGGAGCAGATTCCATACATTCACGTAAAGTTGATTTTTAGAGTACTTGTTTGTTAATGGAGCTCATCTGCTGTCCCTGCAGACCTCCAGGAACTGTGCCAGAGCTCCACAAAAAGCATGGAGTAGTGCTGGGAGCAGGCAGATGCATTCCCGTGGGCATCATGGAGCTGTCACCGTTGGATCTGGGTGTTGGCACATCCCGTTGGACCTTGAGGTCGAACCTGAGCTGCTCAGACCGGACCTGGGACCGAAGATAGGGAGTTCTTCGCATCCATGAGGGACAGCACACTGGAGCCCACCACGTCCTGGTGGCCAAAATCTCCTCGGTGGGGAGAGGGACATCCATCACACAAACACTAAGCTCTGGTGTTGGTTCTCAGGGTCATGAGAGCTCTTTACTGCACTGGCATTCTCTGTCCTGAGTGCTCCGGGACGCCTACTAAGCTGACAAGATATGTGGGCAGGACAAGATATGAGGCAGGCAGTGACGCTGCACGGAATCGTTGCGACTACGAAAATGCAGAAGTTTTACAATTTGATGGTGTTCGGTGTTTTTGTCTCAATCCCCGGTTCGGGCGCTTGTGGGAGGAGGAGCCGCGGGGGTGCGCGACCTCCGGGCCGCCAGGGGGCGCCATGTCCCAGCGCGCCCCGAGGCGCCGCGCCTGCGCAGTGCGGGGGCGGCCGCGAGCCATGGCGGAGGGCCCGCAGCCCAAGAGGAAGCGGGAGGAGGAGGAGGAGAAAAATGGCGGGACCGCCACTCAAGGCGGCGCCGCCGCCGCTTTCACGCTGTCGGACCTGCGGGTGCGGCGCGTCCTGCGGGAATCGGCGCGGGACAAGATCGTGTTCCTGCACGCCGAGGTACCGGGGAGTGGGGGGGCGGCCGCGCCCGCCGCCATCTTCCCCGCTAAGGGCACGGCCCCGCCCCCGGCGGCGCGCTCGGGCAGGCCCCGCCCCCGGGCACTCCCCGGCATCGCGGCCCGGCCCGAGCCCGGCCCGCTTTTCCAGCCCGGCCCGGCCCGAACCCGGCCCGCTTTTCCAGCCCGGCCCGGGCCGAACCCCGCCCGGCTCGGTCCCGGCCCGCTTTTCCAGCCCCGGCCCGCTTTTCCAGCCTGGCCCGGGCCCGGCCCCAAACTCCCTCAGCCTGGCAGCTGCGGAGGCAGCTGCAGACCTTACTGCAATCCTCTTTCTTGTTGCTATGATTTGGTGCCTTTGGGTTCCAGCACGTTTTTCGTGCTTGGTAGGTAAAGCGGCGCTGGGTTGCAAGCAGCGTGCTGGTTCTGGGACTGTAAATAGTACAGCCATTACAGGAAAATGTGCAGTAATTCTTGGGGTTGTGCATGTTGATAGCCGTGGTTCCCTGCATGGCGAGGGAACCGTGCAGCTGTCTCGGCTCCTGTCTCCTGAAATGTGCAGCCAAGCAGGAGATGGGGACAGGGACGTTCCAGGCTGCTGCTTTGATCTCAGTGGGTTCCTGCAGTAACAGCTGGCCACAGACCTCCTCTGCCCTGTGAGCGTGTCAGGAAAATCCACAAACGCCGGAGGTTTATGCTTAGAAGGAGATAGAGGAGTCCTTCAGCTTTATTCCAATGCAGGGAGAGAATGCACTGAGCCACATGACAGCAGGGTTTTCTCTCTCGAGGTTTTGGAGGGCGCAGCCTCCCTTTTATCCTAACTCTCGGCCGCATGTTTCCCTCTTCCTTTCCCCATTAACTGAGCTCCTAGGGAGGTACAGCCTTCCCAAACCACTTAACCCCATATGCCCCCTTAAACCTGCCATTTTCCCCCGAAATTCAGGCTCGTGCAGACCCTTGTCTCTTTCTGGAGCCAAAGTGCCCAAAGTCAATAGAGACATTAAGACCCATTTCAAAGACATTAAGACCCATCAAACTGTTTGTAAAGGCATCAGCACACATCTTCCTTCTCAAGCTGACAGGGTTGGGAGCCCCAGGTTGTGATGAAGCCTCACCTGGGTTTTGTACAGGCAGGGGTGAGGCTGGGGGATGTTCCACACCCAGCACCCCCCAAACCAGCCCGCTGTGGCCTCGGGATCCGGGGCTGTGGTTCCTTGGAGCAGGGCAGCAGTGAGTGCCCCCTGCCCCAGAACTTGCTCCCTGACTATGATGTAAATCCCCACGCCTGCCTTTGCCCTCTTCCTGGGAAGTGTCAGAGATGAAATTGGTGCTGTGGGTCAGCAGGAAACCCGGGAACATCCGGGGAGGTGCAGATGGGCTGAGTCATTGCCCACATCCCCAGCTCCCTCAAAAACCACTTGTGTTTCCTGGTGGGGAGCAAATTCCTGCTGTGCTTCCAGGCAAATGTGCTGTTTGTTTTTGGATGGGTATCTGTCCTACAGGGGGTTTGGGCATGAGGACTGGGGGCTGTGAGGTGTCTGCCGTGATCCCTGACCTCAGACTGTCCACAGTGTTGGATCTGTGTTGCTGATGACTCTATCCATTTGTATTCCAGAGGATTGGCCTCTCTGGAGAGGGCACAGATGCTGTAGTCATCCTGGAAAAGACTCCTTTCCAGGAGGAGAAGATCCCAGACCTGCTGAAGAAGCCCATGCACGCAGAGCTGCAGATGCACAATGACATTTACTGCACCTTCTACCTGAGCCCTCCCCCAGAGCTGAGCGGTGAGTGCCCTCAGCCCTGCCCAGGGATATGGGAGAGATGCCAGGATGTGATTCCTGCCCATTCCAGAGGGGAGGGTGCAGTGGGGAGTGCAGGTGCCACTGCTGGGCCTGGCTGTGCCACCCTGGCTGTGGTTTGGTGACAGCAGCACACCTGGCCCAGGTGGGGAGTATCACTATAGGACAGGAAAGAACACAAGCACACACTGCTGCTCTCAAGGTGAAGAGAAAGGGGAAGTTTATTTTCTGCCTCCAGCATTTGTAGTTTTCTAAAAGTGACAGTGGATTGGAGGGTGACAGTGCCACCTCTATGGCACTGGACAAACCAACAGTCCATCAAACTTCTCCTTCTCCTTAAAAAAATGCAAACCAATGAATTATTTACAGAAAGTGTGTGAGAAAGTTCATTACAAGAATGTCAACATCAGAAGGCTTAGAAAATATTAAAAAATCAAAGCAACAGGGGAGATCAGTGGGTTGTTGCCACGCTGAAGGCAGTGTCTCATCCTGAGGCTTTGAGTGCTGCCCTGCTTTGAGTGATGCCCTGCATCCCCTTTTTGCTGTGCCATGGACACAGGGGGCTCAGCTACTGAGGCACTGAATGGCCATTGCTTGGTGACCTTGTACAGGAAGGTGCAGAAAGGCTCAGTGAGTGATTGTCAGTGCTCTCACTTGGGTGAGGAAGGGTTGTCTCCTTCCAGAATGTTTCTCTTGAAACAGTCTGCAGGGCACATGCAGCTGCTTCTCATCCCATGGTGGCATCTCATGAGCTTTTTTGTCACCTGGTAAGAACAGGCAGTTTGTATTTGGGGCAGGATTTAAGGGCTGGTAACCTTGAGTGCTGGGGCAGATGAGCCCCATTCCCCTTAAGGTTTCACACATCTGTGTGTTATAAAACTCTGCTGATAACCAAGGACTGATGGGCAGGTTGGGGAGCTGCAGTGAAGGCTCTCACCCTGTGGAGGGGGCTCTGTCCCAGTGGGAGGGTGTCCTGAAGTGGTGATGATTTCCAGCTGCCACTGGAATGCTGGGCTGGTCTTTGGGCACTTTGGTTTAATCACAGAATTCCAGACTGTTTTGGGTTGGAAGGGACCTTAAAGCTTGTCTTGTTCCAACCCTCAGCCATGGCAGGGACACCTCCCACTGTCCCAGGCTGCTCCCAGCCCTGCCCAGCCTGGCCTTGGGCACTGCCAGGGATCCAGGGGCAGCCCCAGCTGCTCTGGGCACCCTGTGCCAGGGCCTGCCCACCCTCACAGGGAACAATTCCCAATTCCCAATATCCCATCCAGCCCTGCCCTCTGGCAGTGGGAGCCATTCCCTGTGTCCTGTCCCTCCATCCCTTGTCCCCAATCCCTCTCCAGCTGTCCTGGAGCCCCTTCAGGCCCTGGCAGGGGCTCTGAGCTCTCCCTGGAGCCTTCTCCTCTCCAGGTGAGCACCCCCAGCTCTCCCAGCCTGGCTCCAGAGCAGAGCTGTTCCAACCAGAGCATCTCCATGGCCTCCTCTGGACTTGCTCCAGTGGCTCCATGTTCTTCCTGTGCTGAGGACCCCAGAGCTGGGGGCAGCCCTGCAGGTGGGGTCTCACCTGAGCAGAGCTGGATCACCTTCCACAATTAATTCCATCTGAATGCTGGTATAGATTTAAATTCCAGAAGTGCAGTGATAAATTCCATGTCAATGCTTTCACAGACAATAACAGCCAAACAGGTTTAACAGTCACAATTAATCTGAGTCCCTTAAGTAAGATGTTGTTGCAGGGCCAAGATAGATTTTCAGGACGTTTGATGTGCCTTTCCAAAAATGCTCTTGTTTTAGCTCTGTTCCCACGGTGTAGGAGGGAGCAGTGTCTGGATCTGTCAGCTTGAATTGTGCAAAACTCCTTTTCTCCTGTGAAGGACTCAAATTAAAGATTTTGTTGTTGCAGTGAGTTTCAGTCTGAGGAAAACACCATAACACCACAGGAGTTGTTGGAAGAGGAGTTAAATCTCCTCTTTTTTAGCTGGGAGAGCTCTTGCTTGGGTGCCTGCTGTGTTCCAGCCCAGCAGGAGTTGCAGTGCTTCCCACGAGGTGGCATTGCAAGACTGAAATCCCCTGGGCTGCCTCCAGCTCAGCCCTGCTGCCTTTGCCTTCCTCCCAGCACTTGGCTGCAGTGCTGTGCAACCCCACAGTGCTCTGATAACAGAATTGCAGTGCTCTGATAACAGAACTGCAGTGCTGTGCAACCCCACAGTGCTCTGATAACAGAATTGCAGTGCTCTGATAACAGAATTGCAGTGCTGTGCAGCCCCACAGTGCTCTGATAACAGAATTGCAGTGCTGTGCAACCCCACAGTGCTCTGATAACAGAATTGCAGTGCTCTGATAACAGAATTGCAGTGCTGTGCAACCCCACAGTGCTCTGATAACAGAATTGCAGTGCTGTGTAACCCTACAGTGCTCTGATAACAGAATTGCAGTGCTCTGATAACAATTGCAGTGCTGTGCACCCACAGTGCTCTGATAACAGAATTGCAGTGCTGTGATAACAATTGCAGTGCTGTGCACCCACAGTGCTCTGATAACAGAATTGCAGTGCTGTGATAACAATTGCAGTGCTGTGCAACCCCTCATTGCTCTGATAACAGAATTGCAGTGCTGTGTAACCCCACAGTGCTCTGATAACAGAATTGCAGTGCTCTGATAACAGAATTGCAGTGCTGTGCACCCACAGTGCTCTGATAACACAATTGCAGTGCTGTGATAACAATTGCAGTGCTGTGTAACTCCTCATTGCTCTGATAACAGAATTGCAGTGCTCTGATAACAGAATTGCAGTGCTGTGCACCCACAGTGCTCTGATAACACAATTGCAGTGCTGTGATAACAATTGCAGTGCTGTGTAACTCCTAATTGCTCTGATAACAGAATT